AGCACTTAGGAATTTAGCTTGATATTATAAATCCCTCAAAAATTTCACTGAATTGTCCAACAAAGAAAAAATATCTTCTGTTTCTTTAGCTAATGCCAAAGATGAATTCTGTGCAGTGGAATTAATTTGATGATACATTAAAAACTGAATACAGGTTTGTGTATAGTTACTGTGCTGATTCTTACTGCAAATTTTAACAGAGAGTAGGAGTATGAAATGGTTGCAAAGATCCTCATCCAAAGAAAACATTATGTCCTGCCCTTAACCTGATGAGTCATTTTACTGTGGGACTGGGAGTCTGCAGATGGCTATACATCCCAGAGATCAGCTATGTCTTACTGGGGAGCTGTGCAGCATCTGTGCAGCTTCCCTTGGATCATAAACAGAATTTATCACTGCTTCCTATCCAGGTGGTAGATGGTGCATCAGGGGAGATGTAAGCTCATGTAGTGGGGTTTCATCTCTTCCAAAGCAACAAAATCATTGAAAGATTGAAGGATGGAGAAACTGAATTGTCAGTGCTGCCCAAAGTGGTATAACGGTTCAGGCCGAGTCCAACAGTTCAGGCCCAGGGACTGACTTGTTGCGGCTGCCTGCTATATGCAAATGTGTCTTTGGGAACTGAATCTACTGTGGTTTCTCTCATGTCACCTCCTCATCCTTTTTTGACACCAATACATGGTTTACTGTGTTTGGATATTCACTTTCTGGCCAGGTGGTGTATATGAAACAAATGGAACTTGGGGATTGATGCAGTTTTGCATCACCTTTTTTCTCTGCAGAATCCTCTTGCCTTGTGTCATTGGGCTGGTTCCTGATGTCAGCTGATGTGCTCCTCGAGGACAACGGTTCTTCTCCAGGGGGCTTACGCAAGCTGGGAATGGCTGAGAGCAGTGTGTTCAGCACCTGCTGGCTTGCTTCATCTCATTTCTATTCACAGAGAAATGTGAGTGCAGAATGGACATAAAGTGAGGCCATTAAGATAGAGCATTTTTTTGCTTTCTTCTATATCCAAAACTCCACTGAGGTCCTGCGTGCTGTACTATGCAGTCACAGAATCATAGAAATGTTTTGAAGGGATCTCTGAATACAGTAAGTTACTTCTCTGATATTTCTCCAAATAATGCCGTGTCTCACTCTTGACAGTCATCATAGATCAGTTAGCTTTCTTTCTATGGACTTAGCTTCTTTGACTACTCCTATTGTATATTAGTAATATGAAAAAATATCCAGACCTAGAGTAAACATAGCATGATAAACTGGAAGACTGACAAGGGTCTAATAAATAAGTAGGAAATAAAAGACATAGTGGAAAATTAAAAGGTATGTCAATCCTTCACATGAGAGTTCATTACAGAGAAACTTAGGAGATTTTCTGTGTTGTATCCTCCATAGAGGAGAAATCTGAACAGGCTTCTCAGCATGAAGTGTCAGCTGAAGTGGCTTAGAATAAATCATGTTTTCCAATAGGATCAAATAGTGAAGGCCAGATGTTATTCACTCAAGGGTTCTAAAAGGACTCAGTTATGAAATTGCTGAGCTACTAACTGTGTTATGTACTTTAAAATCGACTTTAGAACTAAAATAATACATGACAGTTGGAGACTTCATACTTTTTAAAAAAGAAGAGTTTGAGGAAAGGGGAACTACTGACAGGTAATCCTGATTTTTCAGTAAGTCAGGTATGGGCAAGAGCAAAGTGGGTAGACAGGTGGCAAGACAGAATGAGGAACAACTGACCCAACGTTTCAGAGGTCATTGGAGGAGTTGATGAGCACGTGGAAAAGTGATCCAGCTGAGGTACAGCATGCATTGTCCGCTGTACCTCACCAAAGGCTTTTAAAGAAACCAAAGTGTAATGATATAAAGGAAAAAAAAAATCCTTCCTCAGTTAATAACTGAGTGAAAGGCAAGAAACAAACAGTAGGAATAAATAGCATGTGGAAGGGAGGTTTCCAGTGATATCTCAAAATGTTGCTGTCCCATTTTTTTCATACATTCCATGTAAGAGGGACATGCAGTGAAGTAACAATGTTTATAAAAACACAGTTATTTAAAATAATAAAAGCTAGGCCAGATGTGACAAAGAGCTCATAGTATTGAGTGACTGGGGGATCAAATGATGGATGGCATATAAAATTGATATATACAAAATAATGTGTGTGTGTGTAGAAAAAAAATCCCAACCACATATATACAACAGCAGGTAGTAAATTAATTGTTACTGATTGTCCTGGGTTGAGTGAATGGTGGAGTTTTTTGGTGGCTGGGGTGGGGGCTATAGGGGTGGCCCCCTGTGAGAAACTTCTCGAAGCTCCCCCAGCTCCAAGTCAGCTCCACCTCTGCACCAAAAACTGAGCCAGTCAGCTGCGCCTCTGCGATAACATATTTAAGAAGGGATGTGGTGACGTGCAGTCGGACTTGTGAGGAGGAGTTGCTGCAGCTGCATGAACACCAAGGTCAGTGGAGGAATGGAGGAAGAAAGGATGGGGGAGGTGTGCCAGAGCAGAGACCCCCCTGTATCCTGTAGTGAGACAGCAGGGTGGCCCCCCCTGCCACCCATGGAGATCTACAGTGGAGCAGACATTGATTTATGGCCTGTGGCTTCCGCCTGGTTAATCAAGGTGCTGTGCCTGAAGAAGGCTGGGATCTTGTGGGAAAAGTTAGCCCCGCTGCTGTAATTCAGCGCTGGGAGGATTGCAGCATGCGGGGGTGTCCCACGCCGGAGCAGCTCGGGAAGGGCTGCAGCTGTGGGAGAGAATCCAGTTGGAGAAAGTTAGTGACCCATGACAGAGCAGTGTGGGGAATGCTGCGGCCTGTGGGAGGGACTCATGTTGGAGAAAGTTTGTGGAGGACTGTCTCCTGTGAGAGGGGGACCACGATGGAGAAGGGGGAACAAGTTCCAGAAGGTGCCCCCACCAAAGATAAAGGAAGTGGCAGCACTGACTGCACCCTCCATTCCCTGCCCCTGGGCCACTGGGGGAGGAGATAGAGATATCGGGAGCAGAACTGAGCCTGGGAAGAAGGAAGGGGTGGGGGGAAGATGTTCTCAAGATGTAGCAATGATTCTCACTGTCTTACTCGGTTATGTGTTGTTAGTGTCTGTAATAAATGTATGTTCTTTTTTTTCTCCCCCTAATGAGTCTGCCTTTTGCTTGTGACCATAAAGGGGGATTTTTTCCCCAAACCAGTCCTATCTTGAACCCCAAGCCTGGCTCTCTGTCTCTTCTTATTGCCGGAAGAGAAGGGAGAGAGAGTGGCTGCATGGTGGTTGGCTGCCGATCGGGCCCAAACCACGACACTGATCAGGCAAAAGATCTTAAGAGTCATTGTGGGTAATCCCCTCAAAACATCCATGCAGTAATCACGGGTGTTCAAAATGGCAATAAGCATGCTAGGGAAGAAACAGCTGAGGACTTACATGATAAAATCTGTAAAATCATGACTGGCATGAAGAAGGGAATAAAAGTAGTTGTGATTATTTCTTACTGAATAGTCATATTCATATTGTCTTGCTCAAATGTTATACTGAATGGCCATTACTTTTTTTTTTTTTTTCCTCCCCAGATATAAGAAATAGCTATGCCCAAATAAAATATCTGGCAGAACTTTTAAAATCAACAAAACAAGAATATTTCAGCAGAGCTCAACCATGGGTCTTCTTGCTACAGGACATTTTAAGTAACAACCTCTAGCAATTTATAGACTGATATATCTGTCCAGTCACTTCCTAAAAAAAAAATTCACCAACATCTTTTGAAAACTGTGACTGGTGCATGCAAGTCATCAGGGAGCCAGGCAGTAGTGCTGGGCTCTACTCTGCCTCCTGGTTTAGCTGCACAGGAAAGTTTCTTTCAGTGCATGGTCATGTGCTCAGGCTGTTTAATTTATTAGAAAAGAGCCTGGAAAGCCTCCATCTGCCAGAAGCTGGGAAGGGAAAATTTCCCTCTGCTCTCCATGTCTTTCTGTTTCTGGCGACAGGCTCCCGCACTGGCTGGATCCTGGATCTGAGTCCCTGCAGTGAATTGTCAGCACAAGACGGACGTGAGGTTTGGATCAAAACCAAATTCTGCCCATCTGCTTTTAAAATTTTTTTTTATAAATAATGAACTATTAGGATTTTCCTTTTTTTTTTTTTTTTATAATAAAAAATACAACTCATTCTTTAAAGCAGACAGGTAATTAATCTAAGAACCTTCAAGGCAGTTGTGTTGGTATTGGTTGATTGCATGACATTTTTTAAAGCGAAGCTATTAATCTGGCATAACATGTTAATATGAATTTGAATACAGTATGTTGCAAATATACAAGAAACACAAATACCTTTATTAAAGGTTTGCAATGCAGATACAGACGTGTAATAATATGCTACTTATTGCAAAGCACTACCAATGAACATTGAAGCCTTCTGGAAAAAGCCAAGATATTTTACTTATTTTTGCTAATGCTCTGTTAATAAAATTTGCTTCCTCATATCCTTAGACCATCAAGGCTACAACAACATTACTACTGCTAAAAATATTTACAGTCAGGTTGCTCATTTAATTATTGGACTGTAGAAGCCAAAAATATCTTTAAAAATATTAGGCTGTCTGTTGGCAAGTCATAGTATTTTGCCTATGATCTTCATTCCATTCTAAGTAGAGAAGAAGTAATGGAATCAATTCATTATGTAAATTCTGTGAAAGCTGATGAACTTTTGACTAGTCATGAAACTACAATTTTAAGTTTAGTTCAACATATTTCTGATCTATCACTTAAGAGTTTTCAAATAGTCATTCAATGTATTTCAATTTTGTGAGGTGGTTGTGAGCATAGCAGACTACTCAGAACCCATCAGATAATGACGTTGCATGATATTCATCTGTTTGCATTTCTGGTGTATTCTATGTTCTTTTTGTTATCTAAATAATACTGCTGTATAGTGAAAAACAATATGTCAAATTCTTCCAAGTGCCTACCTTTTGCTGCTTAAAAATTAGATACAAAACCTCTTAGAATGGTGATGACTCTGGTTTAAACTTTAATGATGACTACGAGGAGATACTGCTAAACTAATACAAAATTAAATATTAAAACCCTATGACAGCACAGTGGAATTTTCAACAGAAAAGGAAAAAAAAAATAAGGCACTTCTGCTATATCTAGATTCATATCTGCTAATATATAGGGCTACATATTTGGCTTCAACACAGTGATTAAACTCAAATATTACTTTAATTTACAACTTGCAAGGATTTGGCCTTCAATCTTTATTATGCAGTCCATGGCAAAACCAAACAATTTCACATTAAAAGCATATTGTTACATAGATTTTAACAATGAAAATAAGAAATACATTTGGCTGCAGAAATAGAAAAGCCAAAAACCCCCCTGCTCCATAGAGTTGTATTTTAGAATATATTCAAATTCATCAAAGTACGTTTGCCTCTGGTTAACTACTGATGATTTATTTACAAAGCAAGTAACAAACAATGGCTAGAAAATACCATTGCACCACAAATTATCTACATGGATATTTCTATTTTTCATACTAGAAAACAGCTAAGGTGGTATTTACTTCAGTACAATGTTTCTGTCATAAATCTTAATGTGTTTAGCAGCTAATACAAAATGGAGATGCAGACTGTATCACATTAGTTAGAAAAGCAAATGTGTTATAGGTTTGGTTAAGAAAAAATAGATGTCTAGCAAAATGTAACTCTTTTTTTTTTTTTTTTTTTTAATTATTATTATTAAAAAAGGTCTAATGCATTAACTGCTCCAAGCACTTCACATAGAGATTCAAAATGTTGCTGATAGGGCAGCTGAAATTTGAGAAACTACTTGAAATACTTGAAAGAGAAGACATCATCAGCCTGTGCTAGTTCTGACAGGCTTACAGCTAGATTTCTGTTCACATAGGAATTTATGTTAATAAAGTCTATGCTGTTTTGGGGATCATTTGACAATCAGTACAACATGGGATACTTTCATTTACTCATCTCTTTTAGAAGAAGTTGTAGCTCATTGTTTTGGTTTTAAAGTCTATTTTTTATGTGAGAAACAGAAGAAGAAGGTGAAGCTTGGAGTTTTGTTTGCTAAGTGAACACTGAAATTATATTTTCCCTTTGAAACTGTGAAACATGAAATCCTTGTAAGAGAAGACCTCTTGAACTGCAAATGTATTGTTCTAGATGATCTTGTGAGACTTCAGTACACAAATAACCTGCACAGAAAACACCTCTACAAATAAATCTTAAGAGTAAATTGAGTAACCAATACTATTACAACTTCATTTCCCATTATTTTCCACCATTAAAAGCTCACCTTCAGTTTTCAAACTATAGTTGTCTAGCCTTTGAATTTTTGTTTCCAACCTGTTTAACACCACTGTAACTTGTCAAGAGCATGTCAGATTGTTACAGGTACAGTAGCTTTGTTTAAGACTAATGTATATATTCCTGGTAAACATGACTGTTAACACTGGAGCTTGGCAAGCCCCCGTAACTCTTGGCTCTGCTTGCTGTTAAGTTTCATGCTTCTGTTTTATGCGCAAAGTAGAAGTGCTGCAGAAGCAATTTTTGACAGACTGGAAAAGCAGGCACTTTCCTCTGTGGTATTTTTTTGAGGGAAGGTGTATCCTACACCTTCCCATAGTATACTGCCCAGACACACCATGGCACCGGTGTGCAATTGCTTTGAGAGCCATGCGGCAGGAGACCCTGTCACGGCAGTGGAGTAGTTTCAGCTTCTTGAAGTTCCAACTGAAAGGAAAGAAATTGCAAATACAATGAACCATTACTTGATTTCTTCCCACCCACAAGTTTGTGTGTGTGTTTGCATGTGTGGGTTCTTTTTTTAAGAAGAATTTACTTCTCATTTGCAGCTACTGTCCTGCCGTATAAGGCTAAATGGGTAGCCCAGAGAGTAAGGTAATACTATGACTTTGCCACAAAGCAACAAAGGCAGAGGAAATGATCAGAGGAGTTTCATGTCTGACCTTAAAAGACAAAGAAACCTTAGTAGATCTGAAATTTGAATTAGAATTAGAATATATTTAATTCCAAGCCAGTTCTCTTTCTAGAGGGGAACTCTCCATGAATATCATGAGTATGGAAGGATTTCACTCCCTTCCTATATTCTTTTTGTAGCAATTGCAGGGGAGTTAGTATTTCAGATGATACATTCTGTGCTCACATCAGTACATTGGTTAACTTTTGGATTTGCAGTTAAAGACTAGTTTAAGTTCTGTGTGAGATGGACTTACATCACCAAAATAACAAACAAACCCAGCAACCTCTCAGCCTTGTGTGTCCACAGTATCCATGTTAAATACTATCTACAAACAGGCACAGTAGCACTACAGGTATTTTCATCAAGAAAAATCTGCTCACTGCACAGCATGTTCTGAAATTCTGCAACCCTTTTTACTTTCCAGCAAATGTCCTGGAGCTCTATAACCTGTTGAAAACAGGGTGAGAGACACTGCAAATAAAGGGCTTATGGCATGGAGAGTCACAGATGAAACGTGACTGAGACAAGAGAGGGAACGTGCTCCTGTAAAAGTAATGGGGCACGGGTAAGGATTTTGAGGCAAGGAGAAGGAAAGTGTGTTTTCGAATTGGATTGTTTTCCAAACACGTTCAGGAGAGTGGAGGCTGTTAGGACTTTTGGCCAGAAACTGACCTGATCCTAAATGTGAATGTCCTTGTCTTTTGGAAAAGTCTAGATCTAGAAATTAATTTTGAAGTCCATATTCACTTATCTTTATGGATTAGATAAAATAGAAGCATTTCTTTTGTATTTTTTTTTTTACCGATGAACTTTTTCTAATTTATTAAGGAAGATATTAAAATGTTTTTTTCCCCTTTTATTCTAATTAACAGTTTAAGGAAGCCACAAACACAAGCAACTTTAGAAGCCACCTAACTAGTTCTGTTCCTCATAGCATAGTTTATTCCTGCTTCCTTTCATGAAGGAGTCTGACAAACACATTTTGTTTTCTCTGCTATATGTAAGATTCACAAAGGACCCATGTAGCAAATCAGCTACAAAAGAAAGCCCAGTTTTAAGGATCTATTGAATTTAGACAAGCTTCTTATAGATGTCATTGTCTTGCCAGAAATTGGTTTTATAAGCAAACAATACTTTCTAAATATTATTGAGATACACTATAATTTACAAAGGAGATATGTCTATTTTCTAAAAATGCACAGAAGGGCCATTCTCTATTAATACAGGTAGATGTGAATCTGCCCAGCTTTTGTCATGTTTCTGGATAGGACTCACCAGCATTCTTCATATTTGTTTGCAATCTGTCAGATAGCACTAGGAAAATTAAAATGTAATAAAGTGCTTTCTTAATTTATTTAATTGAAGTGAAACTAGCTTTCAGTTTTTCCTTGTTTCAACTTAAAAATAGTTTTTCTTTAATCTGATATCCTTTTTATTTCTACACGTGGCTGCCAATCTGAGCAATAAGGGCAAAGCTTTCAGGGCTGAGCACAAATACCAGAGCTTCCGTTCACTGAACATATCTGAAGCTTCATTTTCAGCACATGAGGAGGATTTGCATCTTCCATTATGGCATTTAGACACTTCAGTGGTTAAGGAGAAACCATAAGAAGGTAAAGATACAAAGAATAGTTACATAGGATGACTAAATAGTCCTGAAAATGTGCCTATACATAATTTCCTTACTTGCTTGGACACATTCAGGTGAGGCTGCTATAAAAACTTAAATGGGTATCAAAGAAACTCACTGAAACAAATTAAATTTCTCAGATTTCTATAATGATTAATAATCCATTTTCCTAAGTATTTAGGATTTTTTTTTGTTATTAGCAGATTCATATTAACAAAAATAAAAGCTATTTGGAAAACATACTTTTCAGGAAAAAAGAATTGTCAATAAATTTTGAATTTTAAACAATATCAAACTTTTTAAAATCTCAAGAGATAAATTAATGCAGAGAGTCTTTGTGCATCTGAAGTAAAAGTAAAAGCTATTTCAAAATACTTGTCCAGGTCTTTGTTATGAATCAGGTTAATGTCAATGACATCAAAAAACCTCAGCCATTTGCAAAAGATAGTATTTGATCCTTTATTACCATTCCCTACCAATATTCAGTCATACAGACAAAAGTTCAGAATAAGCAGCTTTCCTTTGCAAGACATTTTTTCAGGATTCGATCACGCCTACTCATTTTAACTCTTCATGCAAATGCACTTATAAGATTGAATATGCCTCCCTGAAAACTAAAGTGAGCCAAGAGTTTAAGCTTGCTTTGGAACAAATGTAACGTATGCATTTTACCACAGAAGTTAGTTGAGTGTAACACAGGATGCATCCCCTGCAGATGTGAAACATCTCAGTCTGACAGCTCTTCCAGTTTTTGCATGCCTGATTAGCCAGTCTTTTCTCCCTCAGAACTATGTTGCTCCACTGAGGAAGTACAATTTCTATAAATGCTCACATCAGTGTTATGGCTCGGATGTTACTCTGTGCATTCGAAAGAAGCTGCATTTCTGGATGAGTTTTGAACTTTCTCTGCTTTTCCACTTTTTATAAGTGCTGATAAAACAATGATCAAACTCTTAATATAGATCTTTTTGGTAATGCCAAAGCCACAGAGTAGGTGAAAAGCCACTATCTTAACTCAGAATAATATGAATATTTATGATGTTTCCTGTTACTGCTTTTGCACTGATTGAAAACAACAGTTGTTCCACCAGTGAATGCTTATTTTTAAATGCTTTAAGAGTTTGAGGCCTTAAGCTGTTGAGCGATTGAGCGCTTGGAGTTCTCATTAATTTTAGCAGGAATAAAGAATTCTCACTTGGCAGAAAAGCAACCTGTAGAACATGTTTCTTCGAAAATGACATGAAGTGTGCCGAGTACTATACAGTCCTGCAATTAGAATTCACACCAAATGCTCTCCAAGGCCTTGTCTGTACAAGAAAGAGCTTGTCAGTATACCAAGACCAATACAGATGTACTAACTAGACTTTCTTGTACAGAAAGCACTTACCTGTGAAAAGAATGCCTTGTCAATAGAATTTACAAAAACTCACTGTTTGAGCAAACAGTGGTTTGCTTGGTGATTTTTTCTTTGTTTTTTTTCTTTCTTTCATCTTTTCTGAGAGCAAAAGCTGCATTTACCCTAGGGCTTTCTCTGTTTAAATAACACTATTATTATTATTATTATTATTATTATTATTATTATTATTATTATTATTATTATTATTATTAATAATAATAATAATAATAATAATGGATGTTACACTTGTAAGTACTGTCCCAGAGAACCTTTTTAGTGTAGATTAGTCCTACAACCTTGTCTGTCATTCTGATAGTAGCAGACAACAAAGATGTTGTCTCTTACAGAAATGTTTTCTGGAGAGAAAAAATAAAGTTTAATATTCAGGTTTGTACATGGCTTGATATGCATGTATTCTATGGAAATTGTGGAGACTCAGAGAGACTGCACCTGATAGCTGTACTCCAGGGAGTACAGCAGTGAGAAGGCTCAAATCAGCATTCAGTGAGCACAGCTGGCAGAAATAAACCAGTGGTGGCAGCTGCCAAAGCAAGGACTGCAGGGATGGTGGTGAGGGAAGTGAAATTGGGCCCATTTATGGCCTCTTCAAATTCTTTCAAATACCAGACCATGCAAAAAGACCTATCCACCCATCTATGAGGACATGAGCTTCCAAGTGTTGTCAGCTTCTCCCCAGCTCTGGGGAAAATTGATGGCTTGGTGCTAGGAAGAGCTACCAAAATAGTTAAAGCTGGGTAGTCAAACAACTTCTTACAGCTCTGCATACACCTTTTTTATCCCATGTCTATTGGCTCTTTGCTTCAGTTTCCTTCTTACTGCCTCACTTGGACCTCATTCCTGATGTACCCCTTTCTCCTTTACACTCTTCCTCTCACTTCCTTCTCCCTTCAGCACCTTCTCCTTCACTTCTCTTTACACATGCTTTATCTCTTCTGAACTAATTTCATCACTCTTCCCTGAATGGAAAAATAAAACAACCAACAAAGAACCCAGCTAGGAGACTAGCTTCCTCCTTCTTGCCACTATAAAGCTCGTTTCACTTGCTTGGTCCATCCCCGCCTCAGCTGGCTCTCTCCCTTGTTGGTGTAGGTTGAAAGATCTTTGTGGGAAGGATCATATTCTATTCTGTGTTTGCTCATTGCCCAGGGAAGTGGGCAATGAGCAAACACAGAATTTCACTCAACCTCTGGGCAGTACTACATTAATCTTTGCTATAGGTAGAAGTTTAGAAGGCTACAGCTCTCCTAAAAATAATGTAAAGATAACTAAATGCAGAAAATATGTGCATACACACTGCACTGTAAAAGTTGGAATTGTAGTATATATAGATACAATCTTGTTGTCAGACACATGCACAAAATTGAGTCCTCTGAGGGTTACAAGTTCATTATTAACAGCTGAATCTGTCTAATAAATTTTTGCTACACCTAGTAAATACTACAAATATATACATACATAAATACATTTATGTATGCACCAATGCCAAGTCTGGCAGTTCTGCTCTACCACAAAAGTGTGTGTAAAGCTGAGCAGGTGCTAACTGATTTCATAGGCCACAGTCTGGCATGTATGAATCAGATACTGCTGAACACCACCACCAACTGCAGATGCTTAATAAAGCTTCTCCTTTTAGCCCCTTCTCCCTTTAGCCCACTCCCTCCTCTTTTCTGGTGCAATTACTATTTTGTCTGCTTGGAGACGGTAATGTTCTAATTTGGGCTTTCTGGCAGCACCTGAGTGGCAGATGTGCAACTGTTTTCACAAGAAACCACCGACTTCTGCACCTCGAGGAGGCAGCTGGCTTGGGTCTGAAGCAGCAGCAGTGAAAAACTGGTGCAGGAGCAAACTAAGTATATTGCTAAAAGGTGATGTGACAAGGAACGAACAAGGTATGTGCCTTTTGTTCTTCTTTTTAAAGAATTACAGAGATGACTCGAACTTTTTCTAGTGCTTGTGATGCGCTTGAGTTACTCTCATGAATGTTAAGATTTGCTTTCAAGTTTTGCTTGATGTTCACTGAGGGATGACTGGAAATTCTCAGGACTAATCAAAGCAACATGGATGTTGATCGTGTAACAAAAGAGCTTCTTTTCAACAGCTAACCAAAAAAGCCTGAATAATAAAAAAAAATAATCTCTTTCTCTTGGTATCTGCTGTGTCATAAAATCCCTACTTCTCAAAAGCTTTTTCTACATGCAGAAGGTATATTCTCAGTATACCTTAAATGGCAGACTACTCCTTAATGTGTGTATGTATTTATATATATATATATAGCTAGCTACCACTATCTATCTCTGTTTCTCTCTGTCTTAAAACCGACCTTAGCCAACACAGATAATTATCTGATACAAGAACTGCATGTAGAAAAGGCTTTGTCTACTTCTTGCATGTCATCCAGGACAAACAAGGCCAGGTAGGCCTTCTCTGTACATCAATCAAAAATGTACAACCACAGCTTCTTCTCTTTTTTATTCACTGTTGCAATAGGAGAAGAGAGCTCTATATTCTGTCCTACTCCTGTCTCCATCAGCAGACAAGGCGTATGAATAGAGAAATCTGTGCTTAATCTCCAACCAGTTCTAAAGCAGTCACCTGTTGTAAACATCCTGCAAATGAAACACTGTTTTGTGTGCTTTGTATATGCATGCACGCTGGACCTGGTCATGCAAGGTACCTTTGAAAGCCCTCAGCTTCCAGAAGAGAGAACAGCTAGCACCATGCAGGACTGGGGTCTCTGTGTACGCATACACCAGTTTCAAATATAACCCTGAAGGTATTTAGATCTTCAAATATCTACAAATCAGTATAAACTGTAACTTCAGAATACATGTCATCTCCAAGCGGGAGGCCTGGATCCAGAGATGACATCTCCACTGCTAGTCATACCTGATGGTTAGTCCTGTCCACAGTGTTGGCAGTGGAAGCATGGTCACGAGTGTTTTGTCGGACTCGGGTGGAGTTTTGCTGCTCAATGGTTGAGGAAGTGGGGATGCAGAACTCTCTGAAACACCTTTTGAAATTCTCGTCTAGAAATGCATAAAGGACTGGATTAAGGCAGCTATTTGTATACCCTAGAGCAATACAGAAGTGCCAGGAGACAGTCTGGAAGGTAGTTTCTGGGATGTTGACCAGGGCTTTAATGATGACATAAATATGGATGGGAGTCCAGCAGACAATAAACACTGCCACCACTACAAGAACCATCCTTGTGATTCTCCGCAGGTTCCTGTCCTTCTCTTTGGAGCCAGATAACATGCGAACGCTCTTCAGGCGTAAAATCATCAGCCCATAGCACACTGTAATGATCAGGACTGGCATGATGAAGGCAAAGATGAACACACAGATTTTCAGGAGGTTCTCCCAGTACCACGCAGGGTGGGAGAACGTAAGTGTGCAGTCAATAGAGCCTGGAGAAAAAGGGAAACAGCAGAGAAGAACAAGCAGGTCAGTTTTTCATTTGTTTTTCTTTAAATCTTTTTTTATAATCTTTTAAATATCAGAGGCAAATAAATGGAGATTTACTAAGTAAACAGGTAAAATAAAGCAATCTGTGAATTGTCAATGGCACAAACACTTATAGGACACAGTGCTGCAAAATATGTATGAAGTGTGAGTTAGAAAGCAAAACCCAAGTAATTTGTTCTCTTTTGCATTTTATTGCTTGGAATTGCATGTATATTAGATCAGAGTTGAATTGTCATAAATGCTTAAACTTTGACTGATTTTCACTTTCAGTATAAAACCTGGTGAAAAGAAAGGTGGTTTAACCACTGTATCTGCTGAGAGCATGGGCATTTCAGGGCAACGGGGAAGAGAATGACATGACACTTGGTAACTGTGCACAATGGAGGGTTTGGATTTATGCTGAGATGCTGTCACTTCATGGAAGGGCTTTGAGCACCAGTGATCCAGAAGTTGCTCTCTGCTCTGTACCGCGTCCTGCCAGACCAGGTGCAATGTATCTATGACTGCTAACTTCAGTGGGAATATCCTGGGTAAAGCACAGGCTTCTGTGCTGTAGGACAGTGCATAACTGCCCCACGGCAGAAGGCAAGCAGGCATATGCACTTTTCCAAACACCACAGTAAACTGTGTGGGGCAGCAAGACTCGCATGGACCCACAGAAGGAGCTAGAGCTGCCTGTTGTAAAAGACAGATCATGTGCAGTGCTGTGTCCAGTCAACTACAGCCAGATGCAAAATTGTTAGAGGCTCATTTACACTGACACCTGCTTTATACAGGTGGAAGGTCAGAAGTTATTTCATCGTCTCTACAATACAGTGAAACAATGCAGAAAGGACTTCAAACACTGAAATACTCAATTTAAGAATGAAAGCCAGACTTACCATGCCTGTATTTAGTAGTTGCCATGAACATAACTGGCAGGCCAATGGCAGAAGAAAGAATCCAGTTGCAGACATTGACAATTTTAGCATTTCTGGGGGTACGGAAATCAAGGGCCTTAACTGGGTGGCAAACAGCTACATAGCGATCCACACTCATGGTGCAGAGTGTAAAGATACTGGTGAACATATTGTAGTAGTCTATGGATATTACAATCTTACAAAGGATGGTACCAAACGGCCATGTTCCCATCAAGTAATTCACACTCTGGAATGGCAGAGTACTTGTTGCTAGGGCATCTGCCAGTGCAAGATTGAAAATATAGATATTGGTGGCAGTCTTCATTTTCGTGTACCTAGAAAACAAATCGGCAAAGCATGTGAGTGACCACAACTGACAATGGTAAACAAAACAGAGTCCAGTGCACCATCTGCAAGAAAATTCTGTGAAATAATGTATTAGATACTGCCAAAGATCACCTTTTCTGCTTTTAACCAAGTAACTTTGGTATGGTTTATCTATAACAATGTCTGCAGTTCAGTGAGGCATTAGCTAAGGGGTGTAAGAAAGAAAAGATTAATATAACGTGCAGAGAGAAAGGATACACATAGATAAAACAATATTATAGATGCTAAAGAATTGAGATGATGAAAAAAGGGTACATATCTGACACTGTACTAAATGGATAGATTTTCTGTACCTGCTGATGTCGAGTATCAGAATCGTGGTCTGTAAAAATAGAGAATTCATTTGTAGGTTGTGGAGTGGTAATTACGTAATTCCTTAGGTAATAAGCACCTAAAAGATTAGCATAATTATCAAATCTGCTGTGTTTAAAAATTCAGGCTTTTAGACTTTCTCATTTATTTATAATTATAAAATTCTAAAATAAATTGTAATGATGGTTACTACATTGTTTTACTAATCTCAGTGTCCAATGTAAATTGGACAGATGTCCTTTCAATTACACGAGAAGACAGATTCTATTAACCATATGCATTTAATGTATCAATAGAGCCATGACCCCGGCTGGATCCTGCAGCCCTGTTGCTTGAGATACGAATGCTCGTTCTGATCCATAGTATCTATTTTGGCAGGAGGGTCTGCAACCTCCATTGCACCCCTTCTTCCTAAATCTGTGTTGCTAGCAACCCAAAAAACACTTCTTGAATTTTGAATATGTCACACTTCAATCACAGTTGACCAGGAGAAGATTTTTACGTTTTAATTTGTATTTGCATTGCTCAAGGTAGAGTCCAAATTCCTCCTTAGTTTCCTCAAAATTTTTAAAAGCCCTTCACTGTTTCAAGCAGAACTTGAAATCCACTTTTTATGAGGATGATATACTTTTGCAGTGGTACAATGAATGTATCACTCTAAGTAATGTTCCTGGTTATGCTGTCCTGCTGTGCTGATTGCTGCCGAGGTGGCTGGGCACTGTGGCTGCCTGGCTTTTGGGATGTCAAATGGCTTGCTCTTTTGATAAAACTCGCCTCTGTTTCTGTAAAGTAACAAGTACATTGTTTGATCAAACATTTTACAATTTAAAGAGTGATTTGCAAGAGGAATAGCCCATTTGAAAAGATCTTTCTGGCGACCTGCTGGGGAAGACAAAGTGTAAAAAAAAAGTATTTCATGTTTTACCATGCCTCTCTCTGCTGGGATTGATTTAGAAAAAATCTACAGGATTGCAGTGTGTGAGAGGTACACAATAAACTGCAGGTCTAAAAACAGTTTGAAGGCAGGAGAAAATATTTTCTGGGTAATTTGCCGGAGAATCTTCCAGATTCTCCAATGAAAAATAGCAACATTTTAAAATTTTTCATTTTATATTTTTATATTGACTTTACTGTTACCCAGAATGAAAATGTTGTGCTAAGCCCTCTTTTTGCCATGTCCCCTGTTGTTTATCAAAAATGAATGTCCTCTCCATAGGTCTGACAACAGACCCAGGACTAGCTAAAGCTGTGCCCAGAGAGCTAACCCCAAGGTTTGGCTGCGTTGTGAGCAGACATATCCAGCTTGCTCCAGTCTGATCTGCTCAGGCAGCAACCGCAGTGGAGGGGCAGTGGCTCCTGATCCTGCGCAGACAAGGGAAGGCGATGAGGATCCCGGGCCCTCACTCAGGCTGCTGATCCCTGCTCAGCCCCGGGGGGATTGCCCCAGCTTTATGGCTGGACAAGAAAGCACGCTTAGGTATGCTGCTCCATGCTGCTGCCATCACACAACAGGTCTGGCACAGTTCTGTCTGGAGAGCACATCATCAGATGATAAGGGTTTTTTTTTAACAGCAAATAAAGTCATTCTTGTGATTTAAAGGGAATGCTTGATACAGCAAAAAAATAAATACATCAACCAATGTGTAAATGACTCTCAGTTTAGCATGCCAGAGGATGGGCCGGGAAAAGCTCTGAATAGATGGCATCAAGTTTCTTCACTGGGACGGGCATGAGCCTTATGCCACTTAAATGCTACACATTTTCCAGTTTTGCTATCTTGCTTTCATTGTCAGTTTAAGATTAAAGGTTCTTGGACTTATTTCACTTAATGGGCTCTATAGGATATTAATGAAGGATTTTGCTTGGTATACTCTGTAATCTTTATATTTCTAATCACACTGTACTTACAAAGAGAGGAAGCAGAGCTTTTGCAGTAATAGAAAGTATTTACCTCCACAACTGCCTAATCAACAAAAGCCTATTGAAATTCACAGTATTCTTTTCAGTAAATTCTATGGAATTTGGGTGTTTCTCTGTACTAAATATTTCAAAATTTTATAAAGGGTTTACTTCTGCAAGGTACATTTTGTTAAACATGTATTTTTCCAAATAAGTAGATTACCCATGTCCCCAGGAGTTGTTTTTTTTTGTTTGTTTTTTTTTTTTTTTTTTTTTTGTATGAACAAATAAATACTGAAGCAATTGATTAAAAGTAATTTTAACAGCATGAAAAATAACAGTCCCTCAAAATGGAGTTTTTCAAAGAATTGATCTTAGCTGTTATTATATCTTTTGCTAAGTCTCAGTCTACATATTTGAACAAGCAGCACAAACATTTCTATCATCCAGACATAGATATGCATGTGATAAGATTTCTATACTTCAGAGGAACCAGATTTTATATGTAATTAAAGTCAAAGGTTATCTGTATAACTTATAATACCAGAAGTATTTTGTCTATAAATGCAATTGTTTAACAGATACTGTTCTCACACTTTCATTCAAGGCCACTAGAGAATCTAAAAATGAACAGATGTGTAAAGAAAGCGTCTTAAATGCAAACCTATGAAAATCTGAATGCTGGTATTCAGATTACATTGAAATTTCACCATCTAAAACACTAAGTATATTAAATTTTGCATGAGAATGAACAAGGTAGCAAGTGAAGACAGAAGTTGGCTTTGAGCAACATTACTTTTATTTTTACAACTCTGCAATGAAAGACTAATAGCGCAACATGATGATTCAATTTTCTGGTGAATATTTAACTTGATACTGCTCTTGATATATACTCAAATTAATGATGCTCGTTATAATGCTGACACTCACTAGTATGCTCCTTCTATCTTCTCAATGCAGGTTTTGTATCATAAAATGTCTATGTTCATGAAACATTTTTTTCTTGGTAGTAGTAAATGATAGATCAGATTTACAATAGTAAGAATACACTTTATGTCTGTCTAGTTCTGTGGGGAAAACTCAACCTTGTCTTTGTATTCAAACCAACAAAACTTTAAAATATACTTGAAGTTTGAAGATCTGAGCTGTAGAGGTCCCCTCAACAGGGATTTGCTTGGAATAAGAAAAAGTAATAGAGAAAAGCATGAGAATCCTACTCAGATAGTCACTAAGTTCCTACCATTCAAGTATAAATGGAAAGCCTTGAAATGACCTCCTCAACTGGCAGCCCATGAGCCTCTTGTAGTTTGCAAACCAAATCAACAGTTCACCAAACTAACCTAGAGAGAACCCCAGCTCCATCACACAGAGTGTAGCAGCATCTTGAGCAGGAGCCACAAGCACCTTCCTTTCTACCTCACAGTCAGGCGACAAGAGACGTGTGAGCACGCTTCTGCCTGTCTTTCTGCAAGACACGTGCCACAGCTCTGTTTATGGCCTGCCCACTCTAATGGTTTAGTCTCCACCTTATCACCTCCAAAAAATTTTTGAAGTCTTTTCTTTTAAGCCTCCATGGCTCAGACGTAAAGAACAAATAACACAAAGACCTTTTATTTTCTTAAAAAATAATGAATTTTTTACTTCACGTTTTATCTAAACCTAATAGCCACAGCTGGTATAGCTGCCACCTGAGACTTGTCCCTACCGCTTCTTGGACAAGCTGTTTACATTCATGTGGACTGCTGAAATGTACCCTGCTGCAGGCCCTTCAGCCCTTCTGTACCAGATCAGTTTTATCACATCCCTGCACCACGAGTCTGGTGCAAAGAAGCCAGAGAGCAGAGTCCATGTTCAGCCCAATGAATGTAGTGATACACAGCATTACGAATTAATTTGAAAACTGCTCCTACTTGAATAACAACAGTCAGGAGAAAAGCAGAAACACTCTTTTGCACTTAGGAAATGGGCTGGCTGATGGCAGATTGGTAATAACTACTTTCAGCAACACAAAGACATGCAAGCTTTTGTCCAAAGAATCGTAATTTGGAGACAGGCTGCTTCAACTGATTTGTGTTTAGGTTCAATGCAAAATATATGAAAAACTGTATTAATTGCAGGAAATTCATTGCAAAAAGCAGTTGTTCACGAAAAAGATTTGGCTGCTGAAAGAAACAACAGCCAGCAATTAGGTCTTGCATACAGACAACCTGACATAACTCTTGTGGATGCTGGAATAGATTAGGTTAGTGTTTCAAATTCATGTTCTTCTTGCATAAATGACTTGTTAAACAAATGAAGACTCATTATATGCACACATTAGATTAGTTGAGGTCTCCTTGGGTAGGAAAATTAAAATATGTGAAGTATGCCTAGCTGAACCAATTTAAATCAACTTTTATTTCCATGGCTACTCTGGTGTAGCTTGTATATGCAACTCAGAAACAGTAGGAAAAAGGGATTATTTTGCATGCTTTCCTGAGATATCAGGTACTTTCAATTTCCACTGAGCCTCTAAAGCTTTAATAAAGGTCATGTCATATCCAGGACGGTCTGGAAAATTCCTCAAAAATTTATTCTGTTTGCTGATTTAATTAGTATGTTTGACACTGAAATGAAATCTCTCAGCTAGGCCACATTCTGAAAAGTACCTTTGAGCTAATAGGTCTCAAATAATGGACTTAACTGATGGCCACCCTCCCTTATCGTCTTTTTTATTTCTTTGCATCGTAGTGGATCT